CTTTCTACCTATTCTGCTTTTACCGTGCCCATCTTTACAAAGCAGTAACAAAAAAAATAAATCTCCACAGCTGATGGATTGAATTAAAGCTAGCTGGCATGCTATGGATGTTATCCTCATGAGGTTGAAATCAAATAATTGTGTTTTAGCAGTAAAAAAAAACTGGCTCTCCATTTACTCAGTGCCTCCATGAGGGAAACTCATTGTTTCCAGTAAAAGGCACCGATTCTTTGGAATTATAAAGCTCATGTACATATATTAATATTAATCACCTTAGTCTTAGAGAAAATCCTTTTTTTAAAATAAAAAAACATTTGATGAAGAGATTTTTTTAAAAAATAAAATAAGAAAAATACTTATTTCCTGGCTTCTAGGTAGGTAGAAAGATTGCTTGGATGTACTGTATGTGGTTTTATGTTCTTCCAGATTGGAAAGACTTTGGCACCAAGAGGTACATGACTGTGGACCAGACGATGCCTCCCTTTGTAGAGTTGTGTGGAACTTCTGTCGTACTAGGCTCATCATTTCCATTTTGTGTTTAATGGTCACACAACTTGCTGGCTTCAGTGGACCAGTAAGTACAATCCATCCTTTATCTTACATCCAGACTGGCCTCTATCCCGCAGCCAGTGCTAATGTCTTCAGGATACATTGCGGAGAATCTTTTAGATGTTGTGATTAGTTAGAAACGTGCCTTGCAGCTTGCAGAGAAGAAATAGGTCTTCCAGCTGCAGAAATCCTAAGACTTTCAAGCTTTCCTTTTCTTCCTTCCTTCCTTCCTTCCTTCCTTCCTTCCTTCCTTCCTCCCGCCCTCCCTCCCTCCCTCCCTCCCTCCCCCCCCTTTCTCTTTTTCTTGCTTTTTGTGTGCCTATAGTTTTATTGCTTGTTTTCAGTGACTATAGCTGGAGAAGGGTGGGCAAGGAACTTTCCTGGGCTAAATCTACAGTTATCTATGAATAAAGTCCTAAGTTATTTGTTTGGCTCTCTCTTTCGAAGAAGCGGAACTGAAATGGTGGTGACAACGTTACGTTTTAAGAGGAACCAGGGTTCATAGGAGTCGATAGAGCTAGCGTTGTTCAACTTGTGTGAAAACGCAGTTGGGCAGGTACCAGTGGCATGAGTAGATTTGCTTCTAGCAGTGTTGGTTGATGAGGAAAACCGTGTAACCTAAGTCTTCATATTCACAGCAAATTTTTTTGTCCCCCGCCTGTTTGTTGCACCTGCTGTGCCAAATTTACTCTTTGACATCTTGACTAAATCTATTCTCTACAAATTTCCCTTGAGGAGTAGGAGCAGTGTTATTGCTTTGTAGTACACATTTCAGTGTGGTGATAAACGGGAAGTTTCAATGCTCTGGGTAAGTACAGCTGAGGTTCATGTTGAAACAGTTTTGTCTTCTGTCTCTTAAAAATAAAAATAAAAAAAAACCCAACCCAATCCTATCCCATCCTTAAATCTGAAAAGTTTGCTTGCCTTTCTTATTAAGAAGGAAATAAATCGTGTTTCTTGGTCTTTGTTAACTGTTGTTGTAATGGGAACGAAAGCTCTCATGAGCCGTTTTCGCTGGATATGCTTTGGATAAGAATGAGGTTTTAACCCAACCAGTTCCCCCAAGAAGAGCTTCTGTCATTGTTTCACTACAGAGTCCTGTCGACGCTCCCAACGCCTAGCAGAGGGTGAGCAGGCAACTCAATTGTTACCTTTGTTTTGCACAGTTTCAACCCATCTGAAATACAGGACAAGAAGGAAGAAGTAGCAGGCAGTCTGCCCTGAATTGGGATATACGCAGTTATTTGTATGCATCCTCCATTGTCCAGGAATTTTATATAACTTGAAAGACCGCCCCGATTAATTCGGAGTATGAAGGGAATTTCTTACCTTTACCCTTTGGCACTAACAGACATTTCTGTGGGTTGGTTTGCTTTGCTTTTTGATCCAAGCATATATTTTATTATTATTATTATTATTATTATTTTAATTTGTATACCGCCCTTCTCCCATAGGACTCAGGGCGGTTTTCACGTCCAATGGATGCCTGGGGGAAAAAAGAACACCGACATTCCCCTTTGCATTGCTAAATAAAAGTGAATTTTGGGTTTTATTTTTTTTAATTTTTTTTTTTTGCAAACGACCATTCACATCTTCAGGTCCGGAAACCTAGAGCTCTAGCAGGAAACAGCTGATTGGGCTCGTCGAAATTCTTGGGGTTAGTAATGCCTAAAAAAAAAAAAAAAGTGCTGCTGTTCCTAAGCTTTTTGGGTATCCAGACTTGCAAAAAAAAAAAAAAAAAAGTAGCACCAGGAATTTCTGCTCTGCTATCTGGTTTGTCCCACAGCCTACCGAGACATCTTAGATTCTTTTAACGGCCCTCCGAATCAGCACGAGATTCATTTTTTATTTATTTATTTTAATTTTTTTTTTTTAAAAAAAAAGGAGTCTCCTGTACATTTGCTGCCGAACAGGTCACCTTTTTCAAACTCCACGGGACGTGGACTTTCTCATTGGAAAGCATTGTGCAAAGGGTCCTCCTTTGCAGAGGGTATTGTGGAATGTGGGGGGGGGAAGGGGCCGGACCGGTGGGGGAGAGCCGTTTTAAGGTAAGCCTCCCGTTCTTCCACGTTCATTCCAGCCACGGCTTGTTTTTTCGGCTCTAAAAGGCTGGAGGTGAGTCGGGAGAGTGTCCTCTGTAGTGGAGCCAATGACAGAAGCTGTTCTTTAGCATTTCCAGGATGGCTGTATTCTGCGATCAGAATGAGACAGTCAAGCTGGGCAGAATCCCAAACGCCAAGACGGAAGGTAAGGTGACGTTTATTTGTGGGAATGTTTACGACAGCCAGGGCAGCTTAGGGCAGCTACTATACCATGAGTGGTTTTCAGGAATAATTTCAGGAATAGCTTTCAGGGGTGTAATGTCCTACCCTTCTGCTAGTTTTGGGTTATTGTATGTTTTTAAACGGAAACTGTATGCTGGTTGTTCCCGTCATGATTTTAACCAGAACAGTGTTTTTTTTAAGATTGCATATACTGTTTCTTTTCTCCTTTTAATCTTTCTGCCGTTGCTTTCTTTACCTCTATAACAACAACAACAAAAACAAATCCGAACAACCCTAAGCCTCCTTGTTGTTCTTCTTCCCTGGAAAGCTCTTACTTTCTAGTTATTATGGTAGAAGAGAGTTCCTGCTGATGCAGATATTATCCCTATTTCTTCCTGTACCGAGTTGGTTTGTGAGAAAATGTTGGCAGCCCTTGTCGGCGTGTGGGGTCGTAGGTTGTGAAAGTAGAACACCGAAGGGTTATTCACGCTGCCAGTGAACTTAATTTCAGCGGATGGATTGGATCCCGGACCACAATCTTGTTGCTGAATAGTGTCAACCAGCCAGATATAGCCAGTGGTGGCTCGGATGGAGAGAAAGTAAAGTCAAGCAATGGAGGAACAAGCTGGCACAGTGTAACCTTGGAATCTAAGCTCCTGTACTATGATCAGAAATTTGCTTGAGGTTCTCTCTCTCTCTCTCTCTCTCTCTCTCTTCTCTCTCTTTTTTTTTTTGGCTCATTTTGTCCGTTTTTGGACCCCTTTGGGCACATGGTGGATGTCCAGCTGTTGACATGTGCACATGAAAACTCAGGGGAGGAATCCTACCGCCGAGTGAATTCAGAATCCACCTCCTTGGGACTTGCTCTTGGTCCTTCTTCACTTTTTAACTTGATCCTGAGCTTCTGCTGCTCGCTTCAGAAGCCTGGCTTTGCACCCGTTGTTGCCCAGAACATTGATTTGCAAAGCCAGTTGTAGCCGTGGGGACTTCCTATAGACTCTGGAAATTCA